AACAGCAACAACATACTCACATACAAACACAAACATGCATGCATACATACATACATTGATATTTACATGGATGCATACATACGTACATACATACATACAACCATATATACATACTTACATACATACATCATACAAATTCCTCAATTCCGTTGTATTTCATGATATATACATATTTTTTTGTATTATTCGTCAAGTGATACCATATAAACAACAAATACACAAGTATGAACATACAAACATGCAAGATTACCTATTAATCAACCTTAAAACAAATTAGTCAATTTTTCATTCATCATTCATTCAATCATTCATTCATTCATTCATTCGTTCATTCGATCAATTCACACCTTCACCAATCTCTCCATCCATCCATCCATCTGTCCGATTCATCATCATCACATTTATTTATATAGCGCACCACACACCAAGGGAATAGATTATTGTTTTTACAGCTTGATTATTTGACAAATAATCGGTATTACATTTTACATACCGTCAAATAACCGACCGAGTACCGAAGATTGTGCGAGCACTTCAGCAAAAACCGGTTACACGATTATGGAATCATTTGAATATTTGATTCGAAGTATCGAATCAGTTGAATGTTTGATTCGAAGTACCGAATCATTTGAATATTTGATTCGAAGTACCGAATCATTTGAATATTTGATTCGAAATACCGAATCATTTGAATATTTGATTCATTCAAAGTACCGGATTAAAAATACCGACAATACAGTAAAACGTTATTAGCAAAAAACCGGATATCGAATAAATACCGAAAAATATCCGGTATGAACAAATACTAATACCAATGTTATTATATATATATATAATATATATATATATATATATATAATAACATTGTATAACATGTTACTATATATATATATATATATATATATATACATACATATATACACATGCGTTATACTAAAACACATTGAATAGCTTCTACGGATCAATTATAAAGAAAAATCTTAATAGCAATAATAATTCAATTATTGAATTGAATTGAATAATAATAATAATAACTTAATAATAAAAATAATATTCTTATTAATAATAATATTCTGAATGATAATAATATTTTTAATAATAATAATAATAACGGTAATATTATTTACAATATCTATTCTGATTGCTTATAAATAAACAAATCTTTCTTTCTCTCTTTCTCTATCTATTTCTCCCTCTCTCTCTCTCTCTATATATATATATACATATACATATATATGTATATATACGTGTATGTATATACAGACTATCAGATATACAGTTTAGGAAAGTGCTGTGACTCCTCAACAACTGTATATCTGATACTATTGTGTATATCATGATACTAGTGTGTATATCTTGATACTACTACTACTAACAATAATAATAATAATAAAAAACAACTGTAAATCTGATACTAGTGTATATCTTGATATTAGTGTATATCTTGATACTACTACTACTAATAATAACAATAATAATAATAATAATAATAATAATAATAATAATAATAATAGTTTAAAGAGGCAAACGCA